TTATGTCATAATAATTTATGTACATAAACGAGAAACATTATTTTTTATAACAATTAATATATCAAATAAAAATAATTGTACAAAAAAAATTCTCTTCATTCGCTCATAAATAATTACTTAAAATCACCAAAATCTTTTTTATTCAAAATTTAATACATTAGTACAGAGCGAAATAAATGAATGTCTATAAAAATATATCAACTATCAATATATCTTTGAATAAATACAGTAAACTTAGTATATTTTTTATGAATAAATATAAAAACATTTTTTTTTCTGTTAATATAACTAGTTAATTTTAAAAGTCAAAAAAATTCTTGTTAAGATGTGCTAGTTTTACAATTTCAGGCATATCTTTCAAATAATATGTATTGTGAAAATACAGACATTTTGAAATGTAAATTAACTATTTGGATGCAAATTTAAACATGCTATGGATTTAACGATGACAATAATTATTAGATAGCATGTTTTAACTTATTGTGATAGTAACATTTGCTTTTTACAGGAACTCAAAAGATTATTTGTGTTTTACGCAGATTTCATATAACAACACCAAATTATAAATTTTATTGAACTTTCAATTTTTCAATCGAACCTGAACATCTAAATAATTTATCGAACATTAATTTCGACCATTTTCAAGAAAAACATTTTTAATAACGTTTTTCGAAAAATTCGACATGATATTTGATTTTACGGTTCGATTTATAAGGAAAAAGTTAGTTCGACTTTTTTCATTTAAGGATTTTTTTCAAACATTATATTATTCAAATATAATTCATACAAAGTCAACAAGGGTTAATTGAACTAATTAAAATAATGGTTTTATCAACGGTAGCCAATTTGAAATTGAAATAATCAACTGCCATCGTTATCATTAGCCATTATTTAAACTATTTGGGGTCGTCTTTAACTTAATGATTTGACGGAATTTTACAGAGGCTGTTATGGCTGTGGGAAACGGGATGGGGCAAGGTGTATGTCGCTGTTACAGTTCTCGTATGGTCACCCATCCGCGAATCAACATCAAACAGCGCAGCTGAACATAAGCGGTAAAAGTCGACTGAATAATTTACTACACCGCAATAAAAATAATAATACGGCTGAAAAAATCAACTGTATTTTGTAAAATTAAAATTAAAAAGGTAAAACTTGTATTCTTAACATTTCCAAAAACAAACTCATGAAACCTTTTTTGATGAAAGGATAATTAAACGAATTCCATTTCTTCAATAATCGATTTTAAAGTAAAACTGTTTTTAAAAAGTACAAAATATTTTAAATTAAATCATTTGTCATTTGAATACAATTATTAAATTTTGTGAATTTTCTAAATAGAAATTCAATCAATCAATTTTGAAATTTATTTTATTAAATAATTTTATAAGTAACTTCAATAAAATGAAAACATAATTTTTATATGTTAAATTAACTAAAATTAATGAAAATTGTCTATAAATAATTATAGTTTTTATATTATTACAAATGTAATGTAACCTGAACATTGAAAAATTAGTTATTTAATTAATGGAATATTTCATCTTTATCTGTTCTATTAATACAAATTATGTAGCTGTTATTAGTGAAATAAAAGTTGTTTTTAACTATGATTAAATCTTGAAAAAGAGGAGAGGTAAAAGTTAAGGGACAATTGCGTTGTGGGTATCCAAAGATACGGTTATGCGTTTTCTGTGTACATCGTTTTAGATGCGTGCGCAAACCCGATGCTGCTGCGTAGTTCGTATTTCATGTGCCGTGTTGCCATTGCCTGCTGGTGCTCACGTAGGCCACGGGACAAGTTGTGCGACGGGTAATTGGTGGTAATAGGAGGGTGTTGAGTGAGACGGGTCAAAATGCGAAGCTCGTCCCTGGACGTGTGTTTTTCTGAGTGTTGTTTATCCAGAAACATAATTATTAATCGTTTCTTAATTGTACGCAGAAACGTTCATAATGTACTTGTAGGCGAAAATTTATCTGGCGTATTTGATTGTTAGCATTAATATTATCATCGGCACCGAACAATTGTTTATATTTTCTTCCTTTATCATATATATTTTTTTAATAAAACCGTTGTAACTATTAATTAGTCATTAAAAACATTCTCAATAAATATTGTTGGCGCCTTAATATAACTGATCGTGTTATTTTATTTTGATTTTTACAGACAAATTGTTTAATTTTACAGATTTTTTTTTTTAATAGTTAAGTTTTATCATACGCTTTAGACAGTAATTGTCAAGATTATAAAACTAAATTATGTAAACCTCGTCTGTAATGCGGAAGTTCGTTTATTTGTGTTTTTATATATCATCAATCTATTTGATTATTACTCTATAAATACAACACTCTATGTACTGTATAATATACATAAATTTATCTACCGGTATAAAAAATATTCTGTTTTACACGTGAGGTGTACAATTGTTGCACAGCTGATGATTAATTTCGATTTTATTGCGTTTTGAAATTTTTGGTTAAGTACGCTATTCAAGTACATTCAATTAAAACGAAACAAAAAAAGAAATAAGATGTGATATTATATTATATTTATATGGGAATGGTATTATTTGAGCAATACGTAAAAAATACCTTTATGAGCTAAACATTAAAAAATGAAATAGTTAAGCATTTTTCTTGGGCATGTACACTAAATAAGCATTTGTTTTTTACGTTTACAAATATAATAGGTTTGTGTATTTTACAACAGTTGGAGTTTAAATGTTGTTGACCAAAATGTTTAAATAAAAAAACTTCTCTAAGTTATATAGAAATATTATATATTAATATACAATGTAATGTTTATAACATGTACATATAATATAATAATAAAATATGTATATTATACATTAAACATTTTGATAGTCTCTCGTTATCTATTAGTAAAATTTCGCCAAGATAAATACTCTTCAGTTAAATTAATTAAATACATTTTTTGAATAAATCGAAAAATTATTCAAACGATTCAGAATTTTACAAACAAAATGAGGATGAGTTTTTTCAGTGATGTACTAATGTCATAATTGATCTAAAACAATAAATCATAATTTTTACTGTTAATGAGCATGTTTCATCTAATAACTCCGTTAAATACTCTGTCAATACTGCTAAATGCATTTTGCAATTAAAAGTGCATAGTTTTTTTTCTTTAATAAGTATGTTTTTTAAGCCTGTAATACTGGTTGTTAATCAACGTAGTGTAAGTTTTATTTGTTTATTTATTCTATTCGACAGTGCGCACACCTTAGCTCCGAGAAAAACAGATTAGAAGCTGCATAAATCAAGGTCGTAAACTTAAAGGTACATCAATAGCAAATAAATGAATTAAACTTGTACATTAGTCAAATTGATAGCGTTTAACATCAGTAAATAATAAAAATGATAACAGATTTTTTTTCAGATTAAGTATTAATTAAAATTTTTACCTTTGAATAATCATAGTAGAAAATCAATTTTTTTTCTGCTTGTACAAAATGCTTAAATTACCACACTAGAAAATAATTTCGAATTTAACACTGATTGGGGTTTATAATATAAGTTTTTCTTATTCATTAAAACTCAGTTTCAGACAGTAGCTGGACTTTCTGAGCAATATTTTCAATGTTACTAAGTCTAGTCTGGAAAAGTAAATCTGAAAATACACATTAACTTTAGAAACTATAAATATTGCGAAGCATGGTAGTTAAATGCACGAATTTATTTTGTTAAATCAATAGGAAATCGTTGAAACGTTGTGAGGTTAAACAAACAGTTCACAAATTGTAATTGACTTTTCCTAATTTGTGTGTAAATGTTGGTCACAAATTTAAAAGAGTTGAAGTCTGTACTATTAATTATATTTGTGTAGGTAGATAGGCTAGTTACACGTGAGAAGACCGGTTTCGATGAATTGGTGGCCGAACACGATGCAGGAATAGCGTTCAAGGGCAAAAGGATACCTCCGCCCTTTTCTTTCTCAGTATGCGTTTTATGCGCAGTAGTAAAGAGGAGGCAGTGTACTCGAACACTACAATTTAAATTTTCGTAGTCAATTGTTTATGATGTTTTTATAAACTCGAACGAAAAAAAATTGCAAGAACATGAAAATATTATTCTTGCGTAACGCAAAAATGATGAGTGCTATGGCTAGTAGTGAAAAAAAAAAATATGCCAGATGTCAAACACTAATACATTTTATTCATAAAATATTTCAATGTGAAAAACATCATTAGGTTATAATTATTAACGAGGATTCTGAATTTACTCGGTACAAGACTGTTTATATTATAATTTCTTTTCATGCCATATGCGAGTAATCCAACAGACTAACGACATTTAAATATTTTTTCTGTAATAATGTTATTAGTGTGAAAAATATTACATTTATATTTTGTCCGCTATTATATACAAGCCATTATTTCTAGAATTACTAATCATACAAGTTTTGATGTTACATGCGTAGAAACTCTTATTGCTACAGAAAACATTAGTTTGCTTAAAATTTTATGTAATGTGTAAATTAAAGAAAAAGTTATTCCTCAAAATAATTTTGATTGACCAAAAATTTATAAAATCATTGCAGCTGTGACAAATTAGTACTTTTTCGCATAGTAATTTAAGAAACCACGTTTTTTAATTCCATTGACGTAATAGGTAGCCGTCGAAATTAGATACGGTAGAAAAAAATAGAGAGAGGAGATGAGTTGCTCTTTCCTTCCTGTTAGCTATCCAATTATGAATGCATGCATTCGGTATTCGCCAAAAAATGGAAGTTTACACAAAAAAAAAAAAAAAAACGTTTGACCCATCAAAAATTGCCGACGAAAATAACACCAACATGGATGTAGAATGTATTGTAACAATGTAATATTGTTTTTGAAGTCTGTTTAGTGTGTGCGAATGGTAACGTAGTAGTGCGGAGAGGTGTGTTGTTGTTATTGTCGTTTTGACGTGGCCGAACGAGCAGTTTGGTGGGGACGATATGCGGCAGAGGGAAGTGGTTTGTATAAAACTAGAAGCGAGCGCCAGCCGGCCTGGTAGTGTCGTGCGAGAAGAGCTAGAAGGCACATACGACGTGAGCCATACCATCCACAGCACAACCGATGCCAGTTCTGGCAGTTGCTTTGTGTACGAGAGAGGAAAGGAACAGCAGCCGGTCCGTAGTCGTCGTTGCATAGAATTATAATAACCGTTGCTGTATTAGGTTTTTGTGCGTGAGACGTTGTCATATTTTTATCGTACATGTCGTTGGTTTGTGTGCGCGACGTTATTGCGTTGAGAACAGTGTACGATCATAAATTACACGTCGTCCGGCTAAGCGAATAATAACATCGAGTGTCGGTCAGCTCCGAAACATCCGAGTAAACATCAACGCCGCTCTCCGGGACAACAATTTTGTGACGCAAATCATTGTCGTCCCACATAGATTGTAAAAACACATTTTTTTGAAATTATTATCGGACCAGCTGGTTGGTGTACCTGATACACTCAATCCCACCGACGCCGCTGACGTTATCTCATATCCGAGAATAAATATTGTCGGCCGAGAAAACCCGGTGCCGATAAAATAATTATACCAAAAAAATCCGTTCAATTTAGTCAAAAGGCGAACTACGCAACACTTGCATTATTCGTCGGCGGATTCAAATGCTGTGATATTAAAATAATTTTGTATGATATCGATAGAATATTTTAGTTAGCAATTATAAAAAAGTTTTCTACGTCGTCCGAGAGCCGTCAACTACCTCATTAGAGTATTGAATATTGTATATTTATTATTACCTTTTGTTAAATTTTTAATTTATAACGATTCGCTCATCGAAAATGGTTGAGAGTATCATCGAAGAAACGCCCGGGCAGACTGAAAGTACCCAAAGTGAGTATAATCAATCTTTTCTCGTAAATTTAATCATAGGTCACTTATGTTACTTTTCAACAGATGACCCGGTCCAGACTAAATCCGAGTCTCTGTCTCTACGTAAAGAAGAAGCTCGAAATAAAAGAAAGAAAAAGAAAACTACCAATAGTTTGGTCACCTCATGTTTCCAAGGTATAGTGTTTAGTATCGATATCTATAAATATAATAGAAGTACATTGATAGCTTAAATTCCTGTATGACCATTGTTTTAAATTTGAGTATTTGCCAACTTTTGTTTTAAAGTAGCATATCTAACCTATAAAAATATTTTTAATCCAACATGGTTGGCATATCTCAAGTACATTGATTTCCAATGGATAGGTAAAGAAGTGTTAGTTATTTAATCAGAATTTTTGTTTCAAATTTGAATCTTTCTTTAAAAAATGTGATCTCTTAATTTGAAAATCAAACCAAATTTTGATCGTTAAATTAAATTTTTTAAAAACCTATACTAGATGAGTTATATTTTATTAAAAATTATATGTATATATCAAATGAGGGTAAAGTTTATCTTTTTTTTTTTAATTTGAGTGATTTATTCTGAAAGATATTTAATTAATCAAAGAATAAATTATAACATTTTTTTATTAAATTGAAAATTTGTATAACTTAAAATTCAAGTAAAACAACCATATATTTTAGTTCATTTGAAATTTGTATTACTTAAAATGTATTTAAAATTATGTACTATTTTTAAAACTGCATTCATTTGAATTTCAATATTCTAATAATATAATGCGTTTTTAAAATAAGTAAAATATCAAGTTAGAATCAATTTTCTCTGTTAGATAATTTTGGTGGTAACATGTAAAAAGGTTCCTTGTCAAAAATTAAATCTTTCAGGAAAAAAAAAATGCTTATTAAAATTATGTAGGATTATGTTTTTTGAGACATTTCTGTATTATGTAGAAATTTAATTTAATTTAATTTTTTGATGTTATAATTTTTATTTGTTACATTTTCCATAATAATTTAAATATTGTTATTTTTTTTATTTTGAACCATGTAACACCCCGATGATTGAGGCGTTAGTAATAGATAATAGTAAAACTATTATTAAGTTTATTGTTTTATTTAATTTTAAATATGATTGTTTTCTTTTTTTAGATGCATACAGATTAACTGGAGAGGTCTTAGGTCAAGGAGCTTATGCATCTGTTCAAACATGTGTAAGTGTGTTGACTGGACTAGAGTTTGCTGTGAAAGTAATTGATAAAATAGCTGAACATGCAAGGGCTCGTGTATTTCGTGAAGTTGAAACTTTCTATCATTGTCAAGGTCATCCAAACATAATTCAGATGCTTGAATTTTTTGAAGCTGATGATAAGTTTTACATGGTATTTGAAAAAGTAAGGGGTGGTCAACTCTTGGATAGGATTCAACAACGTAGGCGATTCACTGAACGTGAAGCTAGTTTGATTGTCAAAGATTTGGCCAGCGCTTTGAACTTTCTTCATCAAAAAGGTAACTATTAATTAAAAAACTATTACTTAAAAGAAAAAAAAAATTTGTATTAAAAATTAATAAACTATTTGTTTTTTTAGGAGTTGCCCATCGTGATTTAAAACCAGAAAACATCTTATGTGTTGATCCTATTGAATTAACACCTGTAAAATTATGTGATTTTGACCTTGGATCTGGTATTAAATTGAATCCAGTTGATGGTAGTGCAACACCTCAGCTATTAACACCAGTTGGAAGTGCTGATTTCATGGCCCCAGAAGTGGTGGATGCTTTTGTTGGAAGTCCAGATTCAAACTATCATTATTATGATAAACGTTGTGATTTATGGTCTCTTGGAGTAGTTATGTATATATTACTCTGTGGTTATCCACCATTTTATGGCAATTGTGGTTCAAATTGTGGATGGGAATCTGGAAATGCATGTCCAGAATGTCAAGTATGTAAAATCTTTAATTATGAACCATAAAAGTTTGTTAACCATGTAAATTAAATGTGAATGTGATTTTGGTAGGGCTTATTGTTTATTAGTATTCATGAAGGCCGATATGAATTTCCCGACCGTGAATGGGCAGATATTTCTTTTGAAGCTAAAGATTTAATCAGTAAATTACTTGTTAAAGAGGCTAGTGCTCGGCCAAGTGCTGCTGAAGTGTTGAATCATCCTTGGGTAAATAGACCTCAACAAGAAAAACCTAAAAAAGATCGTGAACTTAGCACACCTGGTGTTATTAGACGTAATAACAGTGCACGTGCTTTATCGTCATTTGCTGAGTCTGCTATGTCGGCCAACAGAGTTTTTCTGCAACACTTTAGTTTGTTTTCATCACCAGATAAATCTCATGAAGTTAAAAGACTCTCACCACCTTCGCATTCCATGATAGTTCAGCGTAGATCACTTGGAAAGCCACAATGTTCTAATGAAACTCCTACAACTCGGCCACCAGTTCCGTTGCCAATTATCGCATCTCCTAGCGGCTAGATTATTAATTGACCCAAACTATAAAACCTCCATTTTTTATATTTATTAAAATTGTTATCAAACAAAAGTTACAAAAATACTACCAATCAATAATATATCAATTTTGACAATTTTTTTTTTGTTTTTAACTACATAGTTCTAAATATTTTTTTTTAGACTCCAAAATTTTTGCAATAAATGTTATAAAAGAATAACTGTTAAGTTATATATATTAAATTATAAAATGTTAATAATTAATTTAATACAGACATATTTTTGTACTTTGAAAAAGCTCAGTCTTCAAAAATTGTAATAAAAATTTGTGATAATTCCAATGTTTTGGCAACATTATAATATGTTACATAATGGTGCCATTATTTAACTTGTAGGCTTTTTGGGTATGGTTAAGAATCAAGTTTTGTTAAAATGTATTTTTTTATTTATTAAAATTTTTTATAAACCCAACAAGGTACCTTCATGATGAGACATAGGTCTAATCATAGTAGCTTCAAACATTAATTGTAATTAAACCAAAACTATTGTCATAGTATATTAGGTCATTAGGTGCCATTTTTAATGTTATATATGGTATGGATAAAAAAAGGCTGTCTTGAATATAATTTAAGTTACAAACCTGTGTATTTTATATAAAATAATATGAAATGTTTTATAAATAAAAGTATTTATACAAGCAATGCACGTTACAACTATTGTTATTGAGAAATTACATTTTGTTTTTTTTAATATGTATTGAATAATAAATATTTTTGAAAAAAACTTGACTTAAATTAATCAATGATGTTAATTATTTGAAATACACCAATAGTGAAATTAGAATGTAATTATAATGAATGTATATTTCAGCCATTTCTATTGGGAGTAAATTCAATTTATACAAAACATTATGGTTTTTATAAACAAAACTTATATCAATTGTGTTGAAATCCAACAACCCGGTCTAATTAATTTTAATTATTAAATTTTTTTTTTTAAGAGAACCATTCTAACTGATTACATGAGAAGTGTTATCATACCCAATGTTAACATTTTAAAAGTATTGTGCCATTGAGCAGCTTATCTTATGACTAATTTGTTACCAATTGATATTCTTATTGTGAAGCGTTTTTTTTTTTATCAAACCCTTATTACTATTTATACATAAATTCTTACTACAATCACTATATACCAGTATATTGTATATTATAGACTAATAATTATATAGATTTCTTAAATTCCATCCAATAGAACTACGATTCACTTACATTAAATAACATTTAGCTATAACGAAAGATCTACATTGGAAAAATTTATCCTAAAAAAAAAAAAAAAACAATTAACTAAATATAAATCGAAACTAATCCCCGTCAGAAGTTTCATATTATGCATTAATAGTTCATTTACCTAATTAACTGTAGGTTTTTTCGTTATTAATTAGATTTTAGAGGATATATAAAAATAGCGTTGTACTTTTATCGAAATGAAGTTCGTATTAAGAAGGCTATGGATTCCAATTTATCAGATTACAGCAGACTATTAGAAAAAAATGGTATTGGTTTATAAATTTGGTTTCAATAAGTATTAATGCAGATCTGTTGTAAGTACTTTAACAAAATAGGAATTCGTACTCTGGATTTAAAATAAAAAATTTACACTTAAAAATTATTTGAATATCCGATAGACTTCAAAAATTGAAATTTAACGTAATTTAGAGCAATGAATAATAAAAATCAATCATTTTTAGAAGAGCGTAACTACAGAACAATGCATTGTACCGTTGCCCAATGGTGTGTGCCAAAAATTTAGTAGAACCTCCTGATCTCCTAGTATTTTATGTTTTAATGAAACCGCTTCTAACTTCATAATTCAATATATTGATGATAAAATAAACAGCTTCTGAATTCCTGGTACTTTTTGACAATTTCTTTCTGACAGT